ACAAAATAATGCAAAATGCACAAATTCTTGGGAAAAGGTCTAACCCAGCTCCTTTCTTAATCACCAAGTTTAGTTGAGGGGACGCCTAAAATTTGTATCTTTTATAAAAATGTTTTTCTTCATATTATTATTAAAATAATTTAGTTAATACTGTACTAGCAACTATAGGCATACAGGGATACCCACAACGGAACATTTGTTTGAGTGAGTGTTCTCTAGTGTTAGTCATTTCTCATCCTTTCTGGGTAACTCTGTAAAACTGCATCACATAATTTCAATGTTTTTTCTTCAAAATATTTGATAAAAATAAACAATTAAAAGGCGTTTAATCTTTATAACGACAACATGTGAATAAAACTTTAAGAATTTATAAGCTTTGTATAATAAAAACAAGTAAGTCAGGCAATCTTTTTTAAACACACTTTGTCTATAGATAGAAGTCAGGCAACCTTTTTAATACACACTTTGTCAATAGATAGAAGTCAGGCAATCTTTTTTATGCACACTTTGTCTATAGATAGAAGTAAGGCAATCTTTTTATACACACTTTGTCTATAGATAGAAGTCAGGCAATCTTTTTTAAACACACTTTGTCTATAGATAGAAGTCAGGCAATCTTTTTTATGCACACTTTGTCTATAGATAGAAGTCAGGCAATCTTTTTATACACACTTTGTCTGTAGATAGAAGTCAGGCAATCTTTTTTATACACACTTTGTCTATAGATAGAAGTCAGGCAATCTTTTTTAGATACACACTTTGTCTGTAGATACAAGTCAGGCAATCTTTTTTATACACACTTTGTCTATAGATAGAAGTCAGGCAACCTTTTTTATACACACTTTGTCTATAGATAGAAGTCAGGCAATCTTTTTAATACACACTTTGTCTATAGATAGAAGTCAGGCAACCTTTTTTATACACACTTTGTCTATAGATAGAAGTCAGGCAATCTTTTTTATACACACTTTGTCTATAGATAGAAGTTGAACACTCTCTGTACATGTTTAGTTGAGCACTCTCTGTACATGTTTAGTTGAACACTCTCATGTACATGTTTAGTTGAACACTCTCTGTACATGTTTAGTTGAACACTCTCTGTACATGTTCAGTGGAACACTCTCTGTACATGTTTAGTTGAACCCTCTCTGTACATGTTTAGTAGAACACTCTCTGTACATGTTTAATTGAACACTCTCATGTACATGTTTAGTTGAACACTCTCTCTACATGTTTAGTTGAACACTCTTTGTACATGTATAGTTAAACACTCACTGTACATGTTTAGTTAAACACTCTCTGTACATGTTAAGTTGAACACTCTCTGTACATGTATAGTTAAACACTCTCTGTACATGTTTAGTTGAACACTCTCTGAACGTGTTTAGTGGAACACTCTCTGTACATATTAAGTGGAATACTCTATGTACATGTTTAATAGAACACTCTCTGTACATGTTTAGTTGAACACTCTCTGTACATGTTCAGTGGATACCTCTCTGTACATGTTTAGTTGAACCCTCTCTGTACATGTTTAATATAACACTTTCTGTACATGTTCAGTGGAACACTCTCTGTGCATGTTAAGTTGAACACTCTATGTACATGTTTAGTTAAACACTCTCTGTACATGTTTAGTAGAACACTCTCTGTACATGTTAAGTGGACCACTCTATGTACATGTTTAGTGGAACACTCTCTGTACATGTTTAGTGGAACACTCTCTGTACATGTTTAGTAGAACACTCTATGTACATGTTAAGTTGAACAATCTATGTACATGTTTAGTTAAACACTCTCTGTACATGTTTAGTAGAACACTCTCTGTACATGTTAAGTGGAACACTCTATGTACATGTTTAGTTAAACACTCTACGTACATGTTTAGTTAAACACTCTATGTACATGTTTAGTTAAACACTCTATGTACATGTTTAAGAGAACACTCTCTGTGCCTAGGTACCTTAAGATGATAAACAGCGTCTCCAAATTGAATAGAATCGAAGTTTACACCATTACAGGCTAGGATCTGATCTCCAGGTCGTAATCCAACCTCACGAGCCAACCCGCNATATTAATATTTACAAGGGGACCCTAGATATTAATATTTACAAGGGGGCCCTAGATATTAATATTTACAAGGGGGCCCTAGATATTAATATTTAAAAGGGGGCCCTAGATATTAATATTTACAAGGGGGCCCCTAGATATTAATATTTACAAGGGAGACCCTGAAGATTGATATTTAAAAATAATGCTTGCCTGCAAACTTAAACAATTACGGATTTGAACAAAATAATGCAAAATGCACAAATTGCTCGTGACATTTATTGGTTAACGGGAGAAACCCTCCATTTTATTCGAAAATGAAAACATAGATTTTTGTGTGAAAAGTTTAAAGAATGTGTTTAATGTGTGTATAATGTGTGTTTAATGTGTGTTTAATGTGTGTTTAATGTGTGTTTAATGTGTGTATAATGTGTGTTTAATGTGTTTAATGTGTGTTTGATGTGTGTTTAATGTGTGTATAATGTGTGTTTAATGTGTTTAATGTGTTTAATGTGTGTTTAATGTGGTTTAATGTGTGTTTAATGTGTGTATAATGTTTGTTTAATGTGTGTTTAATGTGTGTTTAATGTGTGTTTAATGTGTGTATAATGTATGTTTAATGTGTGTTTAATGTGTGCATAATGTATGTTTAATGTGTGTTTAATGTGTGTTTAATGTGTGTTTAATGTGTGTATAACGT